AAAAGAAACGAGCTAGTGCTACAATCGCTTTATCAATCACATGACCTTACACCCAGCTCTAACCAACTCATCCCGCCCACTGGTATCCTCCATAACAATAAGTAAATGAAACGTATTCATAAATTATTAAAATACATATATTTTTGAGGCATTTAATGAAACAAATATTTTGGTTTTGGAACATGATTGTAATTATTGCATGTGTTGAAGACATAAATATTACATCACATCCTTCACAGGGAAAAGACTGAATAGACCTTTAACTGTACACTGTAAGGTGGCAATTGCATATATGTGATCCTAGGAGCAATGTATTAACACAAGATACCTTTTTTTTTTATCCTGTGAGGCTAAACAATTACAGACAATTAAGACAGCTCTTAAAGTAGTACAATACTTGTATTCTCTTTCATTTAAGCTGTGGTTTGGGAATTTTTTTTTCACCCTTTGACATCACGTAGCTTTTCCGCATAAACTATAAACATAAAAAGTCCAATGATGTCACAATAAGATTCAAACTGTTAATACAGACTTATAGAGGCAATTTTCAGAATTAGCAAAATGATGTCTACACTTTACATATAATATTCACAAAAGACAAAGTAGAAATCTATTCAACATCAGTCTAATCTATAAATACTTTTTTTTTTATCTTTGGCTAAATGAACTGAAGTATCTTCTCTGGACTATGTTGTGTGCTCAGAACACACAAAAATGAATGTCTATCTACACACTTAGTTCTAAGTTTTAAAATGAAACTGTGCATATGTTCTCATGTTTTTATAATCTCTGAGGCTCTTTCAATTACTAACCATTTTTTTTTTTTTTACATTTCTTCAAATAATTTAAAATAAGTATATCTGTAAAACTAAAATTTATAGTTGACCCCCATCAGCTAATCTGACACATGCATCATCAAACCAATTTTTTTTTTTTTTTACATTTCTTCAAATAATTTAAAATAAGTATATCTGTAAAACTAAAATTTATAGTTGACCCCCATCAGCTAATCTGACACATGCATCATAAACCAATGGATTTAGAAGACAAGAGATCATTCTTTCTACATTCAAGTTCATTTTCATGTTATTGCTATCATTTTTGTACAATCCAAATGGAGGCTTTAGTGTGATCAGACCATAGCTAATCCACTGCATCTTTTATCACCTGATCAGAAACAACCTTTCAACTACAAAATGGAAGGGATAGGGGAACGACAGCGGCGCAGTGGTCCCGGGGTCTCATAGGTTTCAAAGGGTGGGCTAGTGATAGGAGCAAGACGCAACGCTGACCCGGCCATTCCTGATATGTTACTGAGGCTGTGAGATTTCTCATAGCCTGTTGTTATAAGAAAATAAGTGTAATCATTGATAGATACATTAGAATAAATTGTATGTTATTGTTTTGCCATCATAAACAAATAAATTAAGAGGAAATCATTGTTGAGATGTTTGGGCATGTTATGACAAATTTTCCATATTCAGGTGGTTTATTATGAATGTTATAATGTATTGAAAAATGGCCATGAGGTTTAAGATGTTAAATGAAGAAATCAAATAGAAAAGCACATAAGTGAAGAGAATAAATTAAGGATAAGAAGTTGTTCAAAACATAAATACATATAAAGGACAGACGAGGACAGACACAAACAAGACAAGACAGACAAGACAAAACAAGAAAATGCGAGTTATGATGTGCCTTTTTTAAAAACAGAAAAGCAAAAGATTCCTAAATAGTAAGCAATTAGTAGACCCGTTGAATAAAGCACCCAACATTTTATCACGTGAAGCATAATGTGCAGTGGTCAGGTGTTTTAGACAACTGGCCAGAACTATATAGGTTAACAATAACACACAGTAGAAAATATTGCGATATCACCAACAGAGTGTAGGAGATGACCACATGAAGTTTAAAGTAAAAAAGCTCAGACCACTAGTTAAGTTAAGTTTATAAACAGCATTTTGCTTTTGGGTCCTGTAAACTTCACATGGCCAACATAAAAACATCCTCCCTGAAACATTTAAAAAACACTTCCTATCCCCCAGGTAGTTGCATCCTGTAATGGAGATCAGTTTGGTTACAGCGGGAAATGACACAGTAACCATGTGTGGTTTACTGACAAAGTCAGGCTGTGCAGGTTACTACTTGCACTGTTAAAGGTACAGCATGCTAACAATAAACAAATAGCACATTGGTTTTTTGTGTCCTTTCCAGCTGTTTTTTTGGTGTGCAACAACACAGCATGCAGACACTGAATTTCCCCTGTACCGTAGAAAGCAGCGAGAAGAGAAGGTGATGCTGTGCTGACGGAATGTTGTTGCATCAGGTGAAGTGAAAAACACCATTGGTAGGTAGCAGCTATCTGCCCTAACAATGGCTAAGTGACCTATAATGGCTGGAGTTTTACAGTTTTATCAGCAATTATATTAGTTGAAATGTAATTTTAATGCAGGGCTGTAAAATTTAGGCTATACTAACAAAGTATGACAAAATTATCAATTTATAGTGGAGATATTTGTCAAACTCCAACCATCACAAAACCACAGACAACAAAAAACAATCACTGGTACAGTATGACATCCTTTGTTCCTTCCTGTTCAAATGGAAAAATTAGGCAATATTCTGGTCCATAGCTGCCAACTCCACCACTCTAGATTACACATCTGTTTTTATTCTGTGACTAGCTCAGGCACACCAGTATCGATGACAGAGTGTCACTGGCTTTCTATCCAGCATGCTCCACAGAGATATCTGAGAAGCTGTCTGGCCAATATGTGGTGCTGCCACATTCTCAAGTTCAGCTTCAAAACTATTGTACATATAATACCCAGATGTATCGAGTCCGCTTATCAGGTTACATCAAAAGGCAGCTATATCCATATCTGTGACAACTGATGAGTCAGGTTTGGGGGGCAACAACATATGGGACAAGGACAATATAGTGAAAAAACACCCCACTTTCACTGCAAACAGTGCTACTGACTGCAAGCAAATAATGTCTTAAAACAAGACATGGCTAATATAAAGTTATTATTATGTGCTAAACCTGCAGGCTGACCTATAGAATTTAGTGATGACTGCCAGTTTTAATCCTTATAATTCTTATGGAATTAAACAATGTTGATGCTGTTTACACTCTGCATTGTTTTCCTCTTAATGTAATTACATTCAGTAATTCTCTGTCTAAAACATCATTGTTAGTGACAGAGTCTGCCATTCTGGTACTGGATTCAAATCACCTTCTCACACACAGAGGATTTTTACCACCCTCATCCTGTGCTGTTTGCTCTCTGACGCTCAGAGCTACATTGGGTTTCTGCTAATGAAAGAAGAACATCCTACTGCTGCTGCTCCATATGGCAAAACATGGGGTGGCTTTTATTGTTAAGCAGCCACAGGAAACAAAATGTATTTGTCACAACAATCCTCAAAATATCAAAAATATGTTTGACACTAGACATATTCAGCATTTTTGCAACAGGCTGCACAAGTCCAACTGCTCATTGAGGTAACCAAATCAACCAGGACTGAAATTCTAAGGGTACAACTTTAACATATCTAAATTCATTTTTATTGAATGTGCAACTGCTTTAAACCAAAATGTGAATGTGTAAAAAATGATTTTTTATTCATTAACTTTTTTTATGAAAGAGATACTGTAGTTGTAATGCCTTATTTCTGCCATAAAAATATGTTTTGTAGGAATACAAAAATAAAGCTGAGTAATTTAGCCTGTTACATAGAAACCGCTTTACTCATGCCACCTTTTAAATACAGTGACAAATGCGCTACATATCTGAAGTACAGATTATAGACGTTCATAAAAATAATGTTGAGAAAACAAAAGTTTTTGATTCTATTGAGAATATTCCAAGTGCTTAACAAAACCAGCAAAGAGAGTAGAGGAAAGAAAAAAAACACTGCTCACTTGATAAAGACATTAACAACATTATTTTTCCCATCCATTATGACCAAACAAAGACTAAGCTACTGAAATTAAAGGTGTTCGTATTGCATGACTCAATTCTGCCTTTAACACTGGCTCTGATGCTTTGAATAAATGCCCTTTATTTGTCCCTTTTAAGTCTGGAATTAAAAGGCTTGAAACACTTGTTAAATGCAGCATGAGTACAATGTGGATAAGAGAGGAAAATAAAGTTCCCATCTGTTGATTAGATGAAGTGAAACTGATGAAGAAAAATGTAGACCAGGCAGAATTTTTTTCATATATATGCATGAGCAGTCAGGCTGCCAAATGGTCGTGGGTACATTATACCGTCATTCCGTTGGCACCGGGAACCGTTCCGTACCCAAACCGTACCGAGGTTTGTGTGTTTCCATTGTCTCAGAAAAGACCTGTGTCCAGCTGAAACTGGCCTGAAAAGCATGATATGTGGTTCAGAAGCAGGCCCCAAAGAGCGCTACTCAGTTGAAGAAAGATACCTGCCCTCTTAAAAAAACAAAGAAAGAAAACGAAGATGATGGCAGCACACTATGAAGAAATAAAATGAAGCCAGTACAACAGCTATGTTTGTCAAATCCATGTTTGCTCTGTTGCACACATACTACCGATGTCCATTCTGGTCACGCAGAAGACAGCACCATGATGGCAACACTTACACTGTGCAATGGAAACACAAATGTGTAGCGGGGCCAGTAGCTGGCCAGCTACAGTATGGTTCCCGGTGGCAGTGGAACAACAGCACTAGTTTGCTTTTGCTTGTGTTTAAAAGCACTGCTTGATAAAAATCCAAGACAAACCATTTTCAGAAATGACCATTCAAATGTTTACACTGTGTCTCAGCCACTGCAGTGTGTCACGGCCTGCTACCGGCCTCCTCTCTGTGCTAACTGCTGTACTCACAGCAACATCGACAGGGGTTTTGTGCTCTGGGATTGTCAGGGGAAATGGTGAGTTTAGCTGTCGCCGTATTCAATGATGACATAATTCCTACCCAAAGTCACACTTAATTTACACTCTGGATGGAATACATACCTACCTATAGTCAGACTTTAGTTACACTTGCGCTGCAGTGGCGGCCTGGGGATGGGATGGAGAATGAGTGTTAATCACAGAGGGAGAAGGTTATGGAGAGGGAAAACACAGAAACAGAGAGAGGGAAGCTGCAAATATTCTGCCTCAACTCAAAGAAATAATCATGTAAAATGAAATAGAGTGAACAAAATATATAATATTCCCGTATATATATTGTATGTACAGTATACAGAAGGCAGAAAACTACTTGAACACCTCTATTACTTACTTCTCATACATCCTGCAATTGTATGACTGTGTGCCTGTTGTGGATGCAAAGAATTTGTTGACAGTTCAGATGCTATTCTTGGCATGGCCACACACTATCATTCTATCATTACATGAACTCAAATGCCTGTTAGGATAGGGTGATCTCCTGTTACCCATAATGAGATGTATCAACCTCTACCACAATATGTCCACACAGTACACAGAGTACCTCTGTTATCTTTTGGGGAAACTAGGTGGCATGCAGCTGTTTCTCATGTCTTTTTGTTACCTGTGTGTAGACCTATCTGTGTGAGCACATTTGTATTACAGTTCAAGTTCCAATTAATGCTTTATATACTGTATACATATATATACTTCTTATAAATAAACATTGACATACATACTGTACATATAATCATGTCATATTATTTCTATTATAAGGTTAAAAAAAAATCTGGCTCAGGCAAAATAATATTTGCAGATTGTTGTGATGAGCCAACATTGTAAAAAACAAAGTGATACTGTTGCACACATCAGAACATGCATGATGATGTTGAACAGGTTTAACATAATGCGTATGACTTAAAGAGGACACTGACATGTTACCACATTAAACTCATTTTCACACCAATTAGAAAGATTTTAGGAGTTACATTTGGAGTTAATATGTTGTGTTTGATTTGACAGCCACTTGTACCGAGGTGTGTCACATAAAACTGAACAGAAACTGACCACAGTGAATAATGTTGCTAAGACACAGGCAGAAACAACAGGTGTGTTGTGGTGGTGGCCAGTAGGCAAATACACTAAAACTCCTGACAAATAGTTCCACCATCAATTTATCCGAATCAATAGTACAATTATGAATAGTTAACCATTAGGTAAATAAAAAGAAGAATGCACCTTGCTAAATATACTAGCTTGTTTATAAGTAAATTTAGCTCAATGTTGTGTTAAACTGCAAAGCAGAAATTCAGTTCTTTGGGGGGTTTGAACTGTCAAATAAAAATTATAATCCCTATTCGCATGTCAAAAATACATTAAATCTTTTTATAGTGTGAGTTTGGTTGAATTTGGTAAAGAACAACAAGCTTTGTTGTCCAATTAGTCCTTGAGAATGTCCTGAATTGGTGATATTAGTGCCATTGTTGTGTTAACCTCACAATTTTGTTGGTATTTTATGTTATCATTGCAATTCACACAAGGCAGATAGTAGGTGATGGTAAAACTCAGAGCAAAACACAGGAAGAACATAGGGGGAAGTCAAAACACCAGACAACAAAACACACTTGTACAAAACTCAAAGACATTCCAAATTAAACAGACCATAACCACAGAAAACAGCAAAAAATATATTCATTAAAAATAAACAGAACTTAATCCTTCACACATTAAAAGACAAAACATTCACACTAAGACATCAAAACACAAACCTCTACAGAAATCACTACATAATACACCACATAATAAATTAATTATTGATGTACACATCATGTTAGAAACACAGGCCATAAAAAAGCACAAAAACCTACGAAATAAAAGAACAAAATAATTGGCACACATAGTGAGAAACTGAACGAAGAGAGAAGGGAGAGGAAGAGAAAGAGAGAGAGACAGACAGAACCCTAACGAGACTGAAGAGGACAATCCTTGAGGAAAGGTCTAGAGGAGTGATTGGGAGTGGGCAATCAAAGGGGTGATTGACCGTTTGACCCGAGTGAGCCATGCATACTGCACTGGGTGCACAGGAAGTCAAATGGCCAACAATCAAAGAGAAGAAACTGGAATAAAAGCAGTTGGCAAAGACATCTTATGTGTGTATCTATGAAATAAATCACAACTGAAACATACAAGAATGGGTTTTAGACAGCATGACAATCCCTCTTTAAAAACAAGGAGAATTTTCATTATCAGAGGAGAACAGGGACATATACCCAATGTTTCTTCTTGATGTTCAGTACTGTTTGTCTCTGTTAAGTAATTGATAATCATGTACAGCGATGTATACAACTTTCTGTACATAGCCATGTATTTACTGTATTTACAACTGCACCGGGACAAAGGGTGGAAACACTGGACAGATTGTCTAACACAGGGCTGTATACACATGACCTTGTTATCAAATGCTGGAGGATCGGGTTCAGTAGATGGAAAGAAGTGCATCAGATTTCTCTGGTATTTACTGTAAGCACCAAGTATGCGCTCATTTTCTGATGATGCACAAGGCTGAATATATCAATACCGACTAGAACCACTGTAGATCCCCAACCTATATGTTTAAATGACAGTGTACAACTTCCCATTCGAGTGACTCCAGTGTTTATATTCTTCAGTGGGCTCCTGATTTGCTCTAAAGAGGGATTTTTGTAGCACTTAAATTGCACTTTATACATAAAAACCACTGAAACTGAAGCGATGTCAGGGACCTCTAAGTGAAGGGCTTGGACAGCTGAAGGCTTGCTTACCTTAGACAGCATGTGGCTACTTTTCAATCAGATCTGTCATAGTATTTGTCTGTCTCGACAGTAAGTGTTTCAGTCACCGAGTGCAGCTTTATAACCCTTTAAATTCTATCCAGGACTCCACAACACAAATACAAAAAGGTCCTGAACTTTGGACTACACTAGGCGCTGAAAGCACAGTTACATGGTCTAGGGAATAGTACTTCAGATCCATTACACGCTCGCAGCACAATATTTAGTAAACCAGCATCACAATAACTATGAAGTGCTCGCAAAGTGTTTGCAAAGCTGACATAAAACATCAAGTGTGATAACAGTGTTGAATTCTTGTTGCCTGTTTATAGCGTGGCATGTTTCAAGAGGTACTATCCCCTGACCTTGACTACCATCCTGACCCCAGTGACCTTGGGCCTTGGAAAGATGACATTCCTATAACACTGCAATCAGTGTCCTGTGGAAGGCTATCAAGGCTGGCCAACTGATTTGACATAAAACAAGGTACATGTACACACAGATATGCACATGAAGAGTGTCAGTTAAACCTGTGCATGAGTGCATGTACATACAGTATTGTGTATAAAAATGTAAGAAGAATGCGTTTTCAAGGCAAACTGTATCTAAATTGCAGCATGTGGTTATGTTTGCCAAGGCGGAGGTCCGTGGGGTAGGGACTAACACGAGTAAACACGGTAGAAGGGGAAAAAACAAAATTAAGCCACACACAACAACACAAACACAACACTCAGACGGCATTGAGAAGACAGAGACACAGTTATGTATAACATGTAAGAATGAAAAAGCCCACATACACACGCGTGATATGACACAACCTGAAGAGAGAGACAACAACAACACAGAGGCACATCAGACAACAATGTGAGCCGCTGTTCCCGTTCAGTCTTCTTCAGTGTATGTTTTAATAATCATTGACACAGGACACGACAACTGGGTCATTTTCACTTGTGCTGCTGGGTGTATCTGCACAGGTGCACGACCACATGGATACACACTTGAACTCACAACTGTATGCATGTTTTAAGTTCCCATATAGACACATAAACACAAGTATACACATATTTGTGCACACTACTCATTATGGGTGTATATCACAGAACAATCTCAGTTTCTTTCCATGTTTTTTTTTTTTATATCTTGTACATTGTTTATTGAGATTGTCCCTAAGCTCACAAAATTATAAGAAAGCAAATTTGTATGCAGGTCAGATATGAGGCCGAGGTTAGGTTTCATGAGATAAAATACCTCACAATCAGATAATGACCCTTAAAACCTTAATACTCTCATTTAAAAAATAACCTTAGCTCAACTGTTTGCACCAATCTCTTAATGTAAAGTTTGAAATTGATAGCATACTTTCAGGGCACAGAGAAGACACTCCACATGTGACATAAGAACATGTTAACACAACACTGTGGAAATGGTGGTGTGTATCTGTGATTTGAAGTCATGCATAGGGTGTGCAGCTGTAGGTGTTGTACGGGCGTAGTGTAATTGCAAAATATGCTATTTCATGGAGAGCCAGAACAAACTTTGTGAATGGTTTCATTCAAAATCTAGTTGGCTCCTTTATTTTCTAACCTTTATCAGTGTTACCTCTGGTCTATGGTTTGATCCAGGAGGAGGTGGAGTTTGCATTGAGGTCCTGCTGTAACAGAGACCCTTCCATCTTATACCAATCCTCAGTCAGAGGGGAGTCTGGGTTGGGTGCCAGGGTCGCTGCCTCTACTTTGTTGTAAACAGGGGGGTGTTGAAAGTTTGGAGGGAGTGTGAGGGAGTGTTTCGGTGCAGGTTGGTGGCAGTGGCAGTGATTGAGTTGCAGTAGTAAATGAATCAAGGTGTTGGATTTTCATGAACATGAAGATAATGCACATGGGGTAAAAAAAAAAAAGGGGGGGGGGGAAAGAAGTGTAGGGAGAAATAAAGACATGGGTTTAAAGATGGGGCAGTGCAGAAAGGGAGTTAGGGAGAGGGGGAAATATGGGGTAGGTGTGGGAGGGAAAGTCATCACAGAGGGGAGGGGACAGGCCAAAATAACCGGGATAATGTGAGGCAGGAGAGAGAGAGAGAGAGAGAGAGAGAGAGAAACAGAAGTGATGAGAAGTAAATTAATGCATGATCAACTGTCTGAGTCCAGAAGACAGAGAAAGACAGATCATTTATGAGCATGAATGGATGTGACATTATGGAACACAGAACAAAATTCACAGACACCATGGAAAGATGGAAGATGTGACCGAGGCCATGACAACAGAAAGAAAAAATAGAGAAGCAGAGGGACAGAAAATCTCATCTGAAAGAAGAAATAAAATATGAAACCAAGCAATGATGGAGACACAGACAACATGAATATGAAGAGATGAAAACAAACAGAGCAGAGCAGAAGTGCTTAATGTATCTGCATGTGCTGTAACTGTACGACTGCATGTGCGTGGATGTTTTGCTGCTAGCTGTGATTGGAAATTTCTACTCTGTCTGTAGTTGAGGTTGCATGAGTGTTCTCCCATCCAAACCATCTTACCGAGATGTTTGGATATGATATTATTATAATCTTACAAATATGATAGTGTATGTGTACTAATCTGCACCAGCTGCACACTGGATGCTGTGCCTGGCATCTTGCTGTGTGGAACTGTTTATATAAGATGTACATGTATCTGTCTCCTCATGCGACACGTACCTTTCCGCACATTCCCATCTGCGGCACGGAATTCCCTGGTGTTGAGAAGGAAGCAGGCGCGGTCCTGCTGGTAGCGTTCCCGGGTAGGCCCCCGGCCAATAGGGCTCCTCTCATCTGGGCTCAGCACCTGGTCAATGGTGGGACAGTCCTCGTTAGCCAAGGCGGCTGAGGCTGCATCACCATTCTGCTTGGAATCTAGAGGAATGGTGAAGGGCAACAAAAAATAAATTAATAAACACAGAGTAGAGTATCTTGTATGTATTCTTTCACAAACAGGTATAAATTTGTATTAATTTTTTTCACTTCAAATAAAGCAATAAATCTTTTGCAGGTTGACATTTTTACTTCTGTTAAAAGAGACAAATTAACAACAAATACAATTATGACAGGAAAATTATAAGCAAATTATCTAAACACAAGAACAGACTGTAAAGTCACTTTCAACATAACATAGGCATTGTTTTGTTTTGTTTTGTTTTGCTGTCAGACAATATCATACCGTAAGGTTCTGCTTTTTTTTTTTTAACATTTTATAGATCAAGTAATTAATCAATAATTATTTGTCAATCTAAATTTATCATTACATTTACAAACAAGTCTAGAAATTAATAAGTCAGAGGGCTCCCTGTAAAACTGCCAATCATGTAGAGTGATCACTAATGTTAATCGACATCGATGTTTCAAATTTTCTGGAAAAAAGTACATGAGAGGTACAAGTATATTGAGAGCAGTGAGAATCCACAGCTATACTAAAAGTACTATGTATCTACACTTGCATGTTGCTACTTTGTGCTGTCATGTAATTGTTCTAATTTGCATTCTAATGTTTTATCCATATATGCATTTTAATGTTTTATCTACTTGTGTGCATTGTGCTAAGCACTTTGATTTGTCTACATGTGCTATGTAAATAAACTTGCCTTGCCTTGCATTGATTACTGATCAGGGATGACTACTACAGATGTCACGCATTTGCACAGAGACATTATATTAAAATACAGTATGCCACCAAGCAAGTCTGTTGTTGTGTTATGTTAGAGCATGTGGTGTTGGTACTGTGGAGAAGTCTGATTAATACAACTTCCTGTAAAATAAAATAAAATGACATACAACCTACAAGAAACCTTTTTAGCCTGGAAGGGAGCCAAGGAGACTGGATGTAATAAAAGCACTGATGAAACCACTATGTTCAGGCTCACTGATGACTAAGCCTTTAAAGCAATGCATTAAAGGTCCAAACTGAGATGTATTAAGCTGCATTAATAGATAACTCCATTCATTTTCCTCATGTAGTGTTTGTTCTTCACTGACAGATGGGTGCCTTAAGGCAACAATGGACCTACAAGTTGATCAAAATTTACACATGAGTTCTGATGGGCCAGTGATTTCACCAGGGTGGATCCACAATCAACTATGCAGTACTCCCACTTCTGTCTTTTGACACTTTAGCCACCAGACCTCCAGAATCATCAGTGTGCATGTGCATTCAGTAAACAGTTTCCAAAAGCATGACTGTCAGTTTTAACCAGTTTACTTTGACTGTAAAACTGTGAACTACACAATACAACCTGGACATAAAACTTGAAGCTTGACCTTTTAACATATTCATATTCACATACGGTGTTTTTGGCTGTCACAATATTTGTTCTCAAAAGAAATTTGACATGAAAATCTCTCACCTCTGTTAATCTCTATTATTTCTTCTTGGGCGAGAGGACAGTCACCCCCTATGCCTCCAGATCCCATCACTCCACCAAGGACATTTCCCAAGATTCTTTGTGGTGATGCAGTAGCCATAGCAAGGGCATCTGGCTTGCAGTAGTTGGGGGACCCTGGCTGGGGTGCTCGGGGGATGTGTTTGTTCTTCTTTTTGGGCAGCTTTTGTTTGGCCATGGCCAAGGAGTAGTACATGCCGAAGTTGTTGACAATGACAGGTACAGGCATAGCAATGGTCAGCACACCAGCCAAGGCACACAGCGCACCCACCAACATCCCTGACCACGTCTCTGGGTACATATCTCCATATCCCAATGTGGTCATGGTCACAACAGCCCACCAAAATCCAATGGGGATGTTCTTGAAGTTGGTGTGGGCACTGCCTGTTGGGTCATTTGGGTCTGCGGCAATTCGTTCAGCATAGTAGATCATAGTGGCAAAGATGAGAACACCAAGGGCTAAGAAGATGATGAGCAGGAGGAATTCATTGGTGCTGGCACGAAGGGTGTGGCCAAGGACACGGAGACCCACAAAGTGGCGGGTTAACTTAAAGATTCTGAGGATACGGACAAATCGGACAACACGGAGGAACCCTAGGACATCCTTGGCAGCTTTGGAGGACAGACCACTCAGGCCCACCTCAAGATAGAAGGGCAGGATGGCAACAAAGTCAATGATGTTGAGGGCGCTTTTGAAGAATTCTAACTTGTCTGGGCAGAAGGTGACTCGTAGCAGGACCTCGATGGTGAACCAAATGACGCACACGCCCTCCACATATGTCAACCAATTGTCAGTCACCACCTCATATACATTCTCCTCACGAGTTGTGTTGCCCACCGTGACGTTCTCTGTCTTGTTGATGATGGTGTTGAAGGCCTCATGCGTCTCCATGCAGAAAGTGGAGATGGAGAGGAGAATGAAGAATAGGGAGCCAAATGCCACATACTAGAGGAAAGGGAGAAAAGAACAACAAACAGAAAAAAGATTGGAAGAGAAAGCAGAAAAGAAAAGGGGGGAGGGGGGGGGGGGCGGATGAAAATACAAAATGCAAAAGAAAACAGAAAAACAAAAGAAAAACTACAGAACTGGTCCTATTTAAAACCTCAAGATAACAGCAGAGGAAAACAGCAGGTGTATACGCAACCCTTTGTCAGACTACGCACACAAATGCTATCTATGTCCATCTACCCATCCATCCATTATCTATGCCATTCATCCTGATGAGGGTCTCAGGGGGCTGTAGCCAATCCCAGCTGACACTGGGCAATAGGTGGGGTACACCCTGGACAGCTCACCAGTCTATCACAAGATTGACACTTGGAGACAGACAACCAACCACACACCCACGCTCACTCCTATGGGCAATTTAGAGTCACCAGTCAACCTAAGCAGCATGTCTTTTGACTGTGGGAGGAAGCCGGAGTACCCGGAGAGAACCAATGCAGGCACAGGGAGAACGAGCAAACTCCACACAGAAAGGCCCTGGGTCGGCCAGCACTAACCACTGTGCCACCATGCTGCCCTGCTATCTACTGTATGTACCTGAGCCAAATCCACTGGATAAAAGTGGCTGTAAATTTAATCTTCAATGAGGTTATCAGATCAGAAAAGTTGCGCCAATTCTGAAATGTACGCATGTATTTTTCATCAAAATCAGACCAGTGTCATCTGTTTTGTAACAGATATGAGAGCAATGAACCCTTCTGTGAAAAGGACACTGGCATAATTTGACCCACTGTGACCAAAGTCCAAGGACAATTAGACTCACTGGGCCTGAACAAATTACAGCTGGCAGTCATAAATGATTACAGTGAACAATGAAGCCTTAAAAATAGAGGTGCTGTCAGCATCATGTCATACCTTGTGCTATCACCGAAAGGATGACCTACTGTGATTATAAATCAATCAATTAGTACTGTATCAGTTTACTATAAAACAAAGTTTCTTTTACATTTAATCATAATAATTAATTTAAAAAAAATACAGTTAAACTTCCTCTTGCCAGAGAAACCAAGACCTGGGCCTCAAAGCACCCAAACCCAAAAACCTAAGGATCCTGCCTCAGATTTTTTTATCCAGAAAGACTTCTTAAGACCTATTTTCTATACAACATAGTGTTATGATTCGTGGACTTGCTTCCTGTTTCAGGCTTTTATTTTGGTTAGTTTCTCCTGTTTTCTATCACCTCACCTCACCCAGCTTTATTCCGATCTACAATCACCACTCACTGGGTTCACCTGTCCCTTGTTTTCCTCTGGTCTCTTGTGTATTTAAACTCCCTCTTTCCC